AAGAACTATGTATTCAAGTATGCTTCCTCCAATAGGACAATTTTCAGTTCTCCAGATATATTCACTCAAATATCTGAACTACCTGATCTTTAATAACAAAACAAAACTATAATTTTTTTTTTACAAGTTTCATGTTGCATTCTATGGCTTTAAAGAAAATGGCAAAGAGGCAATGCTTTAAAAACAAAAATTTACAAAAATTTAGCAAATAAATGAATGATACAGCAAACATTCATCTTAAATGTTATTGAGATTTATAAACAGTGTAAATGAATATGTAACAACAAAAAAAAAAGTAAATCTGAGCAAACTTTTGGAGTAAATAAAATGTAAACATTGAAGCTTAAATAATGGTGGATACCTGTCTAAGGAAGTGTCTTTTTAAAAAAAAAAGGTACAGATTCACAGCTGGTACCTTGTATGTCTACATCTCTACTTAAATGCACAAGTTTAAAAATTATAAAGTTTGAAGATAAGCAGGTAGCTTGAACTCTATTTCAACCAGGACTGTGCAGTTGTTTGTCATGGTAAAACTTTGAAGAAAAGCAGATTGTTTAAACTATTTCAACCAGGACTGCAGAGTTGTTTGTAATTGGAAGAAAATTTGTCTCAAATGATTTCAAACCTGCAGATAATGGTCCTACTGGTGAGAGAAGGAAGTTGGCAAATGATATCACAAAGTAAAAATTTTCCCAGAAATTGAAGTAGTTCTTAAAGAATCTGACTCCAGAGCAGATTTTATGACACCGACTCCCGTAAATAATGCTGACCCCCGAACAACTTGACTCGGGTGAGAGTTAACCGAGGTCTGGCAAGAGATTCTCAAAATATTGGCACACTGAGGTACTCCAAAGAGATATGAAGGTTTGGGGCAAAGTACTATCATGGTTAGATACCTACAAAAAAAAACAACCTAAACAGGCTTAAGTTGACAAGGTATAACATCTTACTAGCATTATTTACATGAAATAAAAGTAAAACTGAATGCAAGAGCCTGGAGAGAACTTAAGCTACACGATGATCAATGTTTTGGTGCAGAGCCCGAAACGGGGAAAAAGTTTTCATGGTCTCTTTCACAGTCATTGCCAAACAAATTTTATTTCAAGAAGAAAAAAAGGACAGCCTCTGCACATATTTAAAAATGGAACACCAATAATTCAGAAGCTTCTTCTTCTTTTTTTTTTTTATTTAAAAAAAAAGCTGAATTTTTGCTACTGTAAACATTAAGAAAATCTCCTGCAATCTTTGGAAATTTATACAGAAAAAAAAATCTGAAGATTTTTACATCAAGGTTAGAAAAAATAATTTAAACAAAAAAATTCCTTTGAAGCTCCTTTGGCAAGAAAATCGTCATGACAACCAGTCAGATTACAACAAACAAAACTTAAACTGCGTAAATCATCATTCATTGCTAATTTCATGTACGGATGAAACCACATTTTTCATGAATTATGGTTATCATCATTAGGATCTATTCAATAGATCTTTTATCTTTAATAACTAAACGATACATAAATAATATTGATAAAAAATATATATGATTCTCTCCCCAACACCATTTTCTTATTGATTTTCTAATTCTGTTTTGGTGCAAAATTCTTTTTAATATTACAGGGCTTAAATTTCATAGCTAACCACATATATTAGCACTAAACATGAACAGAATCTGGACAAACAACATAGTCCCATTCCTTAACTTGTTTGGTGATAATATATCCTTTTCGAGTTCCACCTTTTCTCTCTCTATTTAAAATATATTGATTAAAAAAAGGACAATAGTTATTTAATACACATAAACAAGTAAGTCATTACAAATGTCACAGTGAGCAATCATTGTTAAAAAGTGATGGATCAAATGAAAGTTTTCAATTCCGCTTTGTAAGTTTTAAAAGATTGGATCCAAAGGAAAAAAAATTGGTGTAAACAATTTATATATATATAATATAATATATATATATAATATATATATATATATATATATATATATATATATATTTATTTATATATATATATATATATATATATATATATATTATATAATGAGATGCGCTAAATACTTATGTAAGTCTCCAGATTAGCACTCGGATCATTAACAAAAAGGTTTGACACAATATTGTGACCTCAAGTCTGTTCTTAAGAATTAACAAAAAATTACCATCTCCATTTTAATAAGGGTTGCGGTTGTGTCCATCTCTTAGTTGAACAGTTTTGAAATAAGCTCAACTTATTAAAACGATGCATTCTATTTACAGATAGAACAATGAAAAACTCCTCTTGATGAGCACCTCCTCTTAATGGACTATATGTACAAAAATCTGACACGCACGCACACAGCATTGTTGTTACAAAGANTGAAAATAAACCATCAAAAAATAAAAAAAACAAAAATTTTATTTTGCCCCTAAAATAAAAAAAAAAAAAAATGTTAATTTAAAAAAAAAATAATAATAAATAATAAATAGGTCCAACACTATGAAGTTTAAATATTTGAGCCTTGCTTTGCCGCAATAAACATTTTTAAAATTCTGAATACATATTTACTAGGTCCTGTTAACCTGAACATCATTTGTACAAAAGAAAAACATATCCTCGGAGCATGAGAAATGAAATTTGAAGAGGGGCAGCTATGCTTATATTTGTTATATGGTGATACAGTTCAATGAACCTAGTCTAGACCCAGAATATTGGCCGGGCGTCTAGTCTAGAATAATAGAGTGCATTGAACCGTGTCTGAACATAACCACATTGTAGTCTGTACACCACATTGCTTACATTTGGCGACCATCAAGAAGGAAGGAATAGAATAATTCCTGAACATCTTTTGAAATTCACAATTTGAAAAGATAGTCAATCTGGCTCAAATCATTTTTTTATCACCTGACGCTGAAGAAAAAAAAAAATCTGGTTGTTTTCATGTTTTTACATTATAAAACTATCAAATGTCAAGAAGTGTCTTTAATGGAATTTTCTGATAAACACAAGATACAATATTAGAAATTCCAATAAATTTTTAGGGATGAAGATTTTAGCATTATTTACATATTTAAACCGATTCCTGAGAATTTTGTTATTCAATGTTTCTGAACATCACACCAACTTAACCTTCAATGTTTCTAAACATCAAACCAACCCAACTTTCAATGTTTCTAAACATCAAACCAACCCAACCTTCAATGTTTCTGAACATCAAACCAACCCAACCTTCAATGTTTCTGAACATCACACCAACCCAACCTTCAATGTTTCTGAACATCACACCAACCCAACCTTCAATGTTTCTAAAAATCAAACCAACCCAACTTTCAATGTTTTCTTTAAAAATAAACCCATTCTTGGAACATAATTTGTCGACCACAGCCCTCACCCACAGTTTATAAATAGCTATTTTGACATTTAAAAAAGGCAAAAGCAGGGGGCATCCACAAGAGTGACCAACAGTTTTGTGAAAAGCCTGGCTGTACTTTTGGAATGATGTTGTGCATACACTTAGAAATAAAGGGCCAGTAGCCTTTTTTGGCACTTGAAGACAGTGACAGGGCTCTTGGACAAACATTAACATCGAGCGTGTGTTGTGTTGAGCATGAAGGATTTTTTTAATGAATGACTCAACAATGGGTCCATCAACTAAATGAAGTGAGTTATATCTTAGGTCTGTAGCTGAGCTTCAGATTGGGAACTTAATGCACCACATGTTTTCATGTTGTTACATTATTTTTAGTTCAGTGCTTCCCAAAGTGTATTACATGTACCCGTGGGGGGTACGGGAAGAGTAGGGAGGGGGGGGGGCGCATGCACTGCAAAGGAAAAAATAAATACGTTTTGAGTGTTGTTAAAGCATATGCAACTTTTTTTTAATGACAGGTACCCGGTGTTACGAAAAATTATAGACAGGGGTACACAGATGTCAAAAGTTTGGGAAACACTATCTTAGTTCATCCTCATAACTCAGTTTTTGAACATTGGAAAAACAACACAGTACAGTGTATCTTTTTCTTTTTGATTGTAAACTCATTTTAGTAGTCCTTAAAGATTAACTGCATCTCTGCACACATCAGTGAGTTGGCCAAAGGTAATATAATATTCAAAACGCAATGAGAACCACAATATAGTTTAAATTTAAGCACATTTATATAATTTTGTTTAAACGTGAAGACTGAATTTGATATTGCCTACGAAAAAACAAAAACATTTATATTGAATACAATTAAATTGTAGACATAAGTAAACTGAGTAATTGTTTAAGGCAGACATCCTCTAAACTGTATTTCTTTCACATGATTCATTTTAACTGTGGACCCCAATAAAAAGATGTTTTTATTATGTTTATGGTAGATCCCAATAAAAAGATGTTTTTATTATGTTTATGGTAGATCCCAATAAAAAGATGTATTTATCATGTTTACAGTGAATCCAAATAGGCTTTAATTTATCATGTTTACAGTGAATCCAAATAGGCTTTAATTTATCATGTTTAATACAGTGGATCCTAAATAACCAAGAATTTATCATGTTCACTGTGGATCCCAATAACCCACAAATTTATCCTGTTTACCACAGATCCAAAAATACCCATGAATTATCATGTTTACAGTGGATCCCAATAACCCATGAAGATACGGGGGATCAAATATTTTCTTACCAAGAACTCCATAATTTTAAAAATTATACTACCTGAGCTTTTAAAATTTGGGCTTTCCGAGCAGTCTTGAAAGGACAGATAAAAAATAAAAATTAAACAATTTCTCCATGAGAACAAAACCAGCCCCTTCACACCCTTGAGCCGTTTGCTTGTGCGGCACTTTGACGCTTCTCCTCTGCACTTTGTTTCTTCTTGTCATCTGAGCTCCCTCTCTTCTTATCCTCCTTTCTCTTCTCACCCTGCCCACCTTTTTTCTTTTCCTCTACTCCATTTTTCCTCTTGTCCTCAGAGGAAGAGTTGCCTTTCCTCTTTACCTCAGAGTCACTTTTTCTCTTGTCCAGGGCGGCCCCTTTCTTTTTATCCATATTGCTGCTCTTTTTTTTATCCTCTGCGCTACTCTTGTCCGCGGCACCACCTTTCTTTCTGTCTTCGGGGCCAGATTTGCCAAGCGCCGTTCCTTTCTTGGTTTTATCGATATCCGACTTTTTCGCCCGCACCTCGGATAGTTCTTCGTACATGTGGGAATCAAAGGTCCCCTCCCTGTCATCTTTAAAGTTTGTGTCGTTTGAAAAATGCGAAGGCGCCTGGGCGCTGTTTTGATGTGAAGATGGTAATGCCGCAGACATTGTGCGATGTGACGACAACGGAGAAGATGGTGGGGTGATGTCCACTTCTTCGTAATCGTGATCCAACCTGCGCCTGTGGTTGGTTGATTGTTCACTTTTATTCCCCTGAGCCAAGGAACTCACGGACTGTAACACTTTCACAACAGCCGCCCCATTGGCTGCCCCTGATTTGAATTCAGAATTCCTCGAGTCCAACGAAGATCGTTCTCTTGCTCTCAAGGCAGCCACTTTGGCCCTGGTTTCATCCACACTTTCGTAATTTGGGTCATTCTCAAGGTCCTCCACAGCCTCATTGTCAGATATGCAATCTTTAACAGACTGGTAGCTGGAAATCAGAGTGACCTCCCCTGATTCCTCATCGGTGGCATGCGGCCCTCCCTGGTTGTTGGGGAGGGCTGAGCTGCGAGGGGAGAAGCCGTCGGTTCGTTTCAGTGTGCTGTACCCATCTTCCATGCTGTCGCCGGAGTCATCATCCTCTGTCGGGTTCAGGCCAGTGTCCTCGGGGGATGCCAGGTGTCTGTCACTCAGGCGGTCACCCTCGCTGGACGTTTGCGACTTGGTCATCATGTGAAGCGAGTCCAGGGATGGTGGGATGGGGGCGCCACTGCTACTGCTGTTGTTGTTGTTACCACCTATGCTGCTGCTGTTGCTGATGACACTGGTGCTCAGTCCTCCACCAGAGATGCCTGATTCAGATGTGACAGGAAGAAAACATAATGAATAACATTTCAGGATAGAAACTAATATTTGATAGGGAACATGTTGATAAGAAATTGTACAAGCTTATTTATATTCTTTGCAGACTTTATAAAGGGCTAATTTTTCAGTACACTGAAGCTCAACTCATGCCGTAGACAAAAACAAAGAAACCAAATTTTCTTTCCCCAACTATACACTGCGTCTGGGAAAAAAAAAAGGAGAACCCGTTTTAATAATGACGAAAGCTAATGGTGAATATTTATCAATTTGGTAAGTACCAAAAACTCATTTTGATTGTAACTTTATGTTATATTTTATCAGAGACAGTTCAAAATTTTTGGTATGTCGGTCAGGACTAAAGTTGGGGATTTTAACAATGATGAATTTTTACAAGTGTTTTCATAATTATCAAAAGAGTTTTAAAATGGGCTTTTTTCCCCCGGACACAGTGTATGTAAGCAATAGATGGGGCTTTTTCGGTAAAATAATTCTGAATCTTTTTTTTTTTTTTAAATTCGGGACAATGATTTTTAAGGGTATCGTTCAATTTTCAGAGCTGTCATGACTTTGCTTAATTAAGCTTGTAAGGGCTGGTGGGAAATAAGAATGTGATGTTCATTTGTTAGAGATATGAACAACTCAAATCTTTTCACTGTTCATCATGCGTTAGAGATATGAACAACTCAAATCTTCTCATTGTTTATCATGTGTTAGAGCTATGAACAACTCAAATCTTCTCATTGTTTATCACCTCATACCGATATGAACAACTCAAATCTTCTCATTGTTCATCATGTGTTAGACGTGCGAACAAGTCAAACCTTCTCACCTATCTCGGCGTACGTGTCACTCGACTGGCTCAGCCGGTTCTCTTGGTTCCCAGCGACAGATCCGCTCCTCATCATTACGCCATCCCCTGAGCCTCCTTCCACCTGAAATGAAGACCAAAAATCTATTTCATCTTTTCCGTCATCTGGTTTGTTCCGTTTCTTCCCCGGTGAGCTGTGAACTTTTACACGGCTACGAGGTTGGATTCAAAACGCATGTGACATCAGACATCTGGAGTTGGGGGTTAAATAATACCGCCTATGAATTTGTATGTCTTGAATCTAAGGGAAGCCAAAGCAGGTACAATGGAATATGATAGTATCAAAACCCTGAACTCAAGAAATCATACTAAATAAAAAAAATATTAAAATTTCTTATAAAAAAAAAAAAAAAAAAAAATTTGTATAAAAAATATATATATATATAATATAATATATATATATAATATATATATATATATATATATATATATATATATATTTATTTATATATATATATATATATTTATATATATATATTATATAATGAGATGCGCTAAATACTTATGTAAGTCTCCAGATTAGCACTCGGATCATTAACAAAAAGGTTTGACACAATATTGTGACCTCAAGTCTGTTCTTAAGAATTAACAAAAAATTACCATCTCCATTTTAATAAGGGTTGCGGTTGTGTCCATCTCTTAGTTGAACAGTTTTGAAATAAGCTCAACTTATTAAAACGATGCATTCTATTTACAGATAGAACAATGAAAAACTCCTCTTGATGAGCACCTCCTCTTAATGGACTATATGTACAAAAATCTGACACGCACGCACACAGCATTGTTGTTACAAAGACTAAAAAAAATTTAATCAAAGGGAGGTCATACTAGGAATGTATCATGAGTCTGAACATAAACCATCAATATATAAGAAAAACAAAACTGTTATTTTGCCCTTAAATTAAAAAAAAAAAAAAATGTTAATTTAAAAAAAAAATAATAATAAATAATAAATAGGACCAAAACTATGAAGATTAAATAAATCAAAAAATAAAAAAAAAAAAAAAAAAAATTAAAATTTATTATAAAAAAAAAAAAAAAAAAAGACTTTCTATGAAAGACAGGTTTAAACCACTTAAAAGTGGAAAATGAATTAAAATTTGTTAAAATGTATAATGCGAAGAAAGACTGTGCAGAAGTGTAGAAGAGCACTTTAGGTAGCCAAAGGATTTGAATTGACTATAGACAAAATTTAAATGTGTTATAATTTTGAAAATAATTGCTGCACTGACTTTCTTTGTGTAACACATTTTGAGAAATTCTAAATTATTTTCTACTTTTTAGTGGTTTAAAAACTCATCTTTGATAGCAAGTCTTTTTTAAAAAGATTTTTTATTTGCTACTTTTCAGTATTAAAATTGTAAATTGTATTTATCGACTAAAGACACATTATTTACTTTTTCTTTTAAAACCCCCAAATTCCTACAGCTCTAATACGATCTACCCTACTCCCACACTCTTTCTCCTGACGTTCACTAAAATAAGCAGACAGAATGTTGACACTACTCTGACGTGACCTTTCAGATGACCATGAGGCACAGAGCGAGCGAGCTCAGACACGTGTGTAGAAAAAAAAAATTATGTCGGACAGACAGACAAGATGGGAATGCGGGTAGAAAGGAGTCTTCAAAAATAACCAAGCGCCTCTTCTGAAATATTAATTGTTTGCAGCAAAACACTGAACAAAAGATGTGTTATCATTTACTGGTCAACTAAGAGCACACAAAGACATTTTTAAATGTGCTGACTGGCAGTGTCAATTTAAAATAATAAACATATCTAAATGTGTGTGTACCTTTGGTAAGCAGATGAAGTAAGGACACACAAATTGGCAACTAGGTTGGGGAGTTCTGCTCTGGAGCACAAACTAGTTTCACATTCAACACACTGTGTAACACTATTGTTATATCTTTTCACCAACTGTTAAAACACACTTAGATTAACACTCAACCTGCTGTGACACACGCTAGCTTAGCACTCAACCTGCTGTGATACACACTAGTTTAGCACTCAACCTGGTAGTTTAACACTCAACCTGCTGTGTCACACACTATTTTTGCACTCAACCTGCTGTGACACACAATAGTTTAACACTCAACCTGCTGTGACACACACAAGTTCAGCACTCAACCTGCTAGTTTAGAACTCAACCTGCTAGTTTAGCACTCAATGTGCTGTGAAACGCACTACTTTAGCACTCAAGCTGCTGTGAAACACACAAGTTTAACACTCAACCTACTGTGGCGTATGTGTTTTCTGGCAGGTCAGGAACCATCTCGTAAGGATTAAGGGCATTCCTTTCAGTCATGCTGGCAAGGGACTCCCTCGCTGTCACTTTAGAATACTTGTGTTCTGTGGGGGACAAAATTCATTATTAATTTATCACCAAATAAGAAGATCTTAATGTAAAAATGACTCAAAAAATTTGTTGACAGCGAATTAAAATGAGAGCTATCAATCAGAAGCAGTGTTTGCTCCCAGCGGTTGCCACTAATGTGTGCTTCGAGGGGTTCTGACACGTAGCAGCTCCCCTCTATCATTTTTAGCATTAAAAAAGCAACGAAATCTCACGTCCCTCGAGAGTCAAGTGATGGCGTAATTTTAAGGTTTTTTTTTACGAATTTTAAAAAATCTTGTTTTACTTTCAATCTATGTGTGCTTTAGTCCTTAGCACCGTTATCTGGCATGTGTTCATCCGAGATGCCAAAAATAGATTTTTTGGTCATTGCTTGCTATTTGTTTGCCATTAATGTTATGTTTTTTTAATACACCTTATTCATTGCTGGATGCACTTATCTTTATGAGTTATTAATACTTAGCAGTTAATTTTTGTGTACAAAATGATAAAACAGAGTTACTCCCCTTAATTCAGAAATATCAATTAAGTACCGAAGTAGCACTGCCGTCAGGAATGAGTTAATGGAAATTTCCCTCCTCTTATCAATTACCTCTTTTGTGACCTGGTGCTGCTGTCAGAGGGAAAGTGTCACCATCGTCATCAAAGATGTCATACATCCTAGGGGGCTCCGGTGGCCGTGTGTTGGCCTGCGCATTGTCATCATCATTGCTGGCATTGAAAGACCGCCTGTTCTTGACACTGTCCCCCCTTGTCTTGTTGACCACAGCGTACTCATCAGCCCTGTCCCTGTAGTCATCAAAACTTTTGGGTGGGGACAAGGGACTCCTCCCTCCAGTTGACAAGTGGTGGCCACCTGAATAGGAAATGTTTTTTCTTTCAGTTCTAACATCTCTTTGGTCAGCAAAGAAACCAACACATATTTTTCTTGTGACAAGCGAATCATCACACCATAGTGTGGAGAATCAACTGGCCAGGTCGGCAATACATGATTTCAATAAAAACAATAATTTGGATATTCCGCTCAACAATAGCAATGAAGCAATTGGATATTTACATACATAACATTGACTATCTGAATTCCATTACTTTTATATTAGGCTCTGTGTATGTGATAGCAATGTGATGAATAATAGCTGTGACTGTAGTCATGTAAGTACTCCACTCAGGGGTGCCACTTACTGAAAGCTGAGAACCCTGAAAACCCTTTTTAAAACTTTCTTGAAACCTAAAACAAACTTCATTTACAAATTTTTCAAACCCTGAAACTTAACAAAACTCATAAAATTCATACACAAGAAATAATTTCTTGTGCAACGATTACATCATATATGCATATATTTATCCAAAAAACTAATAACTGGGGACAAAGCACCGGCAAATGAAGACATTTAAATTTGCCCCCAAAAATGCAATATATATATATATATATATATATCACTTATTTACTAAAAACGATTAAATTTATTTAAAGAATTTAGCAATGGGTGTCCTTGGGTTGGGGCGGCCACCAGTGGAACCCGATCAAGCGGACTCGGGTGGGGGCTGTCCTGGCAAAGGGATATTTCCAAAGTGCCGCTTTGTGGCCCGATACTCCGGCTTAGGGGGGCACTTTGGGGAGAGCATAAAGAGCCTTGGCTCGACGGCCCGTCGATGCCATTTCCTAAAATGATATTTCAGGAATGGCTGTAGTATTTTGGGTATCTGTATGTTTATAAAACTAAAATAGTAGTATTCTTAAGTACTACTAGTATCAAGTAAAGTAGGCCTACATGCCAGGGTGGTCGATTTTTTTACACCAAACTTTAAATGAAGTGACGATTTCATTTTCCAATCAGTGTCATCGCCGCCATTTTAACAGTTTTCCCCAATTCTGCAATATTTTCTTTCACATCCACAAAACACATTTTGAGAAAGTTTTAAAAAAAATATATTTGCCGGTACAACAGAAATGTGCCTACTTCAAACTGTAGTAATTTAAATGAAATGACAATATCATTGTTTGCGTAAGTAACTTGACACAGCAAGAAGCGAGGTGCTTGCAAATGAAAGCGAGAGGCTTGCAAACAAAAGTGAGAGGTCCTAGTACCTGCTCTATTTAAAGCAAACCCGCTTCTCGTTGAATAGGTTTTCACGCGTTCTTATACGTTGATTTTTTTTTTAAAACCCAGAATATGTATTTGAATAAACGGAACTGGCGAATCCAGAGTGAGAGAAAATAAAAACTTGCAAAGCCGGAGCTGAAAAATATTCAGCCTCACGAATCCGGAATAATCTGTAAAAGTGGCACCCATGACTCCACTTCTTTAAATTGTTTGGGAAACCTCAAGATAAACATCTGAGTTATAAAATAATCTTTTTCAAACAATAGAATTATCTTTCAAACTACAGGGCCTAGAAAGCCCACCAAATCAGCTCTTTTCCCCAAGGGTGCACGGAAACCTAACCACTTAAAGTTTCCTTTGGAGACTGTGCCTTAAATGTAATGCCAACAGTGTAGTGATGTTTATTTAGATAAGATGAGATGATAAGATAATATGATAAGGTTAGATGATAAGATAAGATGATAAGATGAGATGATAGGAGAAGATGATGAGATAAGACAAGATAAGATGCTTTATTGATCCCAATAAATGGAATTTTTGTTGTTGACATTGTACACATTCCCTTTTAGCACATAAATCAATTACCCCCCACCGCACCCCTCTCCTCGAGGATGCTCTGCAGCTCCCCCGCAGTGTCCTGGCAGGTGGCATACGGGTCCATGTCAGTGTTGGATTGTTTGAGTCTGTGGATGAAAGATGCAGACACAGCGCCGTCTGAGTCCCCAATATGGTTGTAAGGATCCTCGTCGGTCACCTGCATTTAAAAGAGGCAAGAAAAGGTTTGATGAAAAGATCAGCATTTACAATAATTCTTACAAGTCAATTGGTTAAAATAAGAGCACTCAAAACAAAAATAATTTTTAAAACATTTGTAAAAAAAAATATATAAAAAATTAGAACAACTTCAGCAGCAGGACTCCCAACAATTCTGGAGGGCACACAACTTAAATTACCTGGCTAATTTATAAGTCTAAATACCAAAAAGTGCATTATAATACAGAAATATACAAAGGTTTTTCTCTACCCTTCTGTATATTTTGTATTGCTTACAACGTGGTGACAGTTCTTCCCTTATTTCTGATAAAACTGAAGCCTGCACTTATTTAAAACAATGGTAAGCTTTTCAAGCACACACAAAATTCTAATGGTGAGAATGCTGATCTTCATTTCTGATGCGCCACAACTTACTTTTTTTTTTCTATAATTAGAAATTAATCCGAATTTGTAAAATATTTAGAAATTTCTGTCAATGCTGAATGCTTATTCTGATTAAACTGCAGAATATTTAAATACAAGAAGGTAGGAAAAAAAATTACAACTTGTGAAATAAGTTTTGTTTTTTTTAAAATATAAATTTATTACTGAGTGAGTTTAAACAAATTCAATTGTGTTGCAATTTCATTCAGTCACTAAAAAATAAAAAAAATACCTGGCTGTAATGGCTGACTGGGCTGAGAGGCTTAGCTTTCATTCCAGAGAAATGTTCTGTGGAGCTCTGGGACGGCTTTGCCTTGACGTCCTTCACTATGGCATACTCCTCCTCTCGCAGGTGAGAGTAATGGCCATCGCCAGCACTTCCTGTATCTGACATGGGAGTTTCTTCCCCTGCGTTGTCATGATCCGCCAGGCTGTCATAGTCTGTCGGAAGGAGTGCCATTCGTAAATAATAACAAATTTATGTTGCAAATCAAGCTCTGACTACCTTAAACTCTGATTACCTTTAGCTCTGACAATGAATTTTTCAAATAGATCTTTACAAATTTGAAAGACTGCGAGCGAATGAAATCAAACAATACATTAGATGATCCAGGAAGATTACATTGAAACAACATAAAACTTAACATGAATTCAGGGTATTACAGTCACAACTGCTTAAGCTTTTATATTTTCCTGAAAGTTATTTCACCAAACAGTGAATATTGCCTCTAAAAATAAATTACAATCGGTGAAAAAAAACACCAAATAACTAAACATGTCATCCAGATATTTCCATGAATATTTCCAAAACAAGAGTGTAATTACCTAACTATGCAATGTAAATAATGTCCAACATGAAACCATGTGCATTGAAGGAACACTAACTGTATGTCATTCCAAAATGACTGAGCACATACAGCGGTGCTGCAGCTTATTCAACACAAACTCACCTGTAGGTTTGGCAGATAACTTTGGCCGGAGGTGATCGTAGCCGTCGGAGTGGGACTTTACTTTTTTTTCACTGGTGATGCCGTTGCCCACCACAGAGTTCTTACCGCCAGGGGTGTTCCTGTTGCCGTGCTGCGGTAGATGCTGGGGGTAAGCGTACTCTGGGCCCCCTGGAGCCACGGCACCTTTCATGGAATTACTGGATGCTTCTATCCCAGACAGTGAAGCATTGCGTGTGTGGTTGGAGACAGGAGGCTCCGGCAGCTCTCTCAGGCTGGTTGGCCGCATGTTGTGTACAGAGCTGGCACTTGCCTGACGGCTGTGGCTGGAAAAAAAAACAAGTTATATTTTATTCACATGATAACATCAAACATCATGTTGGGCAAAAGTTTATAAGCATGTGCGTTGTGATATTTGGTGCAGTAACAAGACCATACCCAGGCAAAGTACTGGATGTTGTTGGCCCACCATTAGTCATTGGCACAACTGTCTCTCCAATAGCCTTCAGTTTACTCTCTGCTCCATCAGCCTTTGGTGCCTCCTGTGTTTCAGGACAATAAAGAAATCGTGGTTAGTTATTAGGGCTTTCCATGCATTAAGCTTATTTAAAAATTTAACTGACACAGGTTCTAGTCTTAAGAAGTTAATCAATCATTTACTTAACCCATTTAAAGGAATTTATGAAAAAATCTCTAACCAGTTATTTCTACCATTCAAAGTAAACTTATTTTTTTGTGCAGAAATGTATCCCCTCCTCATTAGAGTAATATAATTTTTAAATAACATTTTGCTTATGAACAGCTGTAAATTTTTCTTAACTTTTTCAGTTTATTAGAAAACAAATAATTTAAAAAAATTATATTTACATTTTGATCTCTTCTTTCCTGTAGTGCAGCACTTTCATCATTGTTCTTTTCCCTGAAATAAACAACGCTCATCAATTTTGGCTTAGGATAACAACATAAATACATTTAATTCAAACTGAAAGATGGATCAGTAGTTGCAATGCCGTCAGACATGGTTAGCGGATAAAAATGAAGATTGTTTTTTCCTTCAATTCCCAAACATTACAATAAACAAAAAATTCATTTACAAGAGGAAACAGTTGTTTTAGAAAACGAAGTTTTAAGTGCCATCAACTTATAAGCTACGTTGTTACCTTTCCTGGAGCATTTTTTATTTTTAGTGCCGTCAGACAGGTAGCATTGTTCAAATGTTCTAATCAGTATTAAAAAAATATATGTAGTCTGTGGTCATGTCACTTACCCCTCCTTACATGCACACAGCAGCACTACAAAAAGTAAGCCAATCAGTCCACCCACTGCAGCCAGCACGCCACCCATGCCAAGTGTCACAGTCTCAGCAGCAGTCTCACCAGGCAAGGGATACAGGGCCATGAGAAGCCTCTGGCCATGCTTAATCCCTTCCATTTGTGAAGATTGTACAAGATGTAATGACAAACAATTATGGCTTTACATTGTTAACCCTCTCCGTTCCATGCCATCCAAATTTCTTTAGTTGCGACTCAAGTGACCTTAAGAAAAACATAAATAGAATAATTATATTAAATTGGTAAATAATTTCTTCCTTGTCAAATAATTAATTTGTATTATTAGCAAATTAAATGTGATAGAAATTAAACTCCACTTAACTAGATTTAAACAAAATGTCATTTATTTTTCACATTTTTATTTTGATTGTAAATTGAACTAAGACAAAGTATACAGAACACAATAAGCAAAGTGAAAAGACTGTGTTTCCCAGCGAACTCTGGGCTGTGGCATGCACAGAAAGAACACAACAGGTGCAGACCCTTGAACGTTACACTATGACCATATTCTAGAATGCAAGTTTGACTTACTACCTAAGCATTAATCTATCCCCCAGGCACCCCAGGGTGAAGTTGGTCGCCCTTTAGCCCACAAACTGTCAAAGTCAAACATGCTCTTGTGTCAATTTTTTTTTAGGAACTTTGATATGTATCAACAAAATATAGATATTCTGAGAGTAAATTTGACAAGGAATCTGATGGTATGAATGTTAGAATTCTCTTTGTTTTTTTAAATTAATATGACCTTGACCTTTCAACAGTGAGTACAATTGTTTATCTTTCATTTAACTCACACCTGCAATAACTGCTGGGTCCTTTTTATCATCGTCATAAGTCTTTTTTTCAGACACATAAACATTATTTTCAGTTTGGAAAATATAAAGTTATTTGGGTTTAAAGAAATTTTGAAAAAGTCATTGGTGACCTACATATTTCTTAATACAATGATAATTAAATTCATTAGTCCCTTTTTTTCCAGTGCTTCCAATATTAGAATAGTGAACTGTTTTACATGCAGGGTGATACACATATGCTTTTAAAATGGTAACAGGAGTCAGACAAGGATGTCTCTTGTCCCCCTTTCTATTCATCTTTGCCATTGACTGGATAATGAAAAAATCCGCTGACAAAAAGAGGAACTGGACACAGTGGGTACAACTGAATGAATTAGACATTGCAGATGACATTGCACTTCTGTCCCACAACCAGCAAAAAATGCAGGAAGAGACAAAAGGTGTAGCCACCAGAGCATATTTCTCTGGCAGGCTGTGCACTGGAAGAGGCGGCCTTCACATACTTAGACAGCACCTTTGACCTTAACGGTGGATCCAATGTGGATGTCAGGGCCAGCATGGGAAAGGCTAGGCCAGCATTTGTGCTATTAAAGAAAAAATGGGAGTCAAAGGAGTTGGCTCTGCAAACCAAAGTCAGAATGTTCAACACAAATGTCATATCAGTCCAACTCCGTGGAGCTGAAACTTGAAGAACAACAGCGAGCATCATGCATGAAGTACAGACCTTCATGAATGCTTGCCTAAGAAATATTCTGAAAATAAACTGGCCAAACACCATCACCAGCAAAAACTTACAGGAAAGAACATACCAGGAGCCTATTGCTTGAGACATAATAAGGAAAAGATGGAGGTGGACAGGGCACGCTCTCCGCAAACCCCCAGATAACATCACCAGACAATCCCTAACAAGGAATCCACAGGGAAAAAGAAAGAGAGGGAGGCCAAAGAATACTTGGAGACAAGAGCTAGAGGCAGACACACAAAGTATGGAATACACCTGAAAGCAACTGGAAATGACAGCACTGGTCCAAGATGAATGGAAAATTCTTGTAGATGGCCTATGCTCCCAGACAGGGTAAATGGCATAAGTCAGAAAGTATGCCTTTGTTTAGCAGGCCCCACATCTGAGTCATAAAAGTTAGTTTTAACAAAAAACCTCTGAAAATTTCAGCTCAATTTGAAATTTTAAAAAATAAATAAATGGCAACATGAAATATTTAACCAAGTTTTCCATAAAAAGGAAGTAAATCCAATTTGTAAAAGTTATCCCCCATATAATATATGTTAACTTCTGATTCATATTTTTAAAATTAACTTTAGTACAGGTTGAATTTATCAGCTGTAACACCAAAGAAGCATCCTCATCCATAACAATTGGTCATCTGCTGTTAAGACAGTTTGTGGGTTAAGAAGCATTTCTTACAGCATCTAATAATGTGCAAATGGTTGAGACAACTCCCTAAAAACACCTGGAGAGTACTCTAAAACAGAATATTTAGTTTTGATTATTGATTGGACGCACTTCAGTTAAAACCTCAATTTATTTATATTTGAAACTGCAGATGGAATGCAAAGAATCCATGGTGGATCATATTGTCAAATTACTGAAATTGAACTTAAGTTAAAAAATAAATACATCAGTGTCATCGGCATCATATTTAGAACAAAGGGTCTGCATGTCCGACGACCGGACGAATAAGTTCTCGAGATATTCGTCCGGCGACCAGGTCACATGACCGCCGAAACAATGTTGGGCGAGATATCTGTCTGTCAGCCTTGTCACCTGACCGCTAATAGTCGATCATGAAACTGGCGTTGGAGATGCGGGGGGNGGGGGGTGGTCGGTCGAGTATACACTTCATTTTAAGTAATAATGGGGGGGGGAACAATGCATACTAGAAGGAAGGAATACTGAGAGCGAGAGAGAAAGGATAAAAATAATAGTAAGGTGATAAATAATTAAGGCAGGGAGGTTGAAAGTTCACAAAGAAATAGACCAACATCTAAATGTAGGGCCAATATAGTGTGCTGTTGAGGTAGCCTACTTCTCATGCAAAATTAATAGCCCAAAATAAAACTTTTTTGACAGTAGATCCATTGACAGTCAACTGGCATACAGGGCCGGCCCTAACAATTGCGGGGCCCTATGTGAAACGGATTGCGCTGGGCCTAGTCTGGGTAGGGATAAGGATAATAAGTGAAAATTAAGATTTTGTATTAGAAAGTGGGACCTATGAAAGTGCGGGGCCCACTGCGCAGCATAGGTTGCAGTGGCCTAAGCCGGCCCTGCTGGCATGTATTGGTCTTATTTTTGTTGATTCATATTTTAAATTTAGGCTACTAGGTAGAGCTTTATAAGATATTTAAACCAAGATAATGGACTTTTTTATTTATTATTTTATTTGCTGCTGGAATAATAACACTAACACATACTAGTCGTCCGGCGGTCACGTGATATGCCCACCGGAAAAATATCTACCGCACTATTTGACCGGTTGCTGGACATATAGACACTGTTTAGAATTAGATAAAGCTCTAAATTCTAATTTTATTAATATTAAACTTTAACTTATCACTTTGTGTTTCATATATAATATATAGTATATAGACCTGCACCGACTCCACACCAATTAACACTATAAATTGTTATTGTATAACTGACTATAACTTGTTTCATTAAAGTTCATTGAAATCATCATTGAATTCATTGTCATTGAATTCAAGATTGGAGTTGGTCACTTATAATCTTAACTACTAAAACTAGGTCCTATATCCAGGCTCTTTAATTTTGTTTCACATAGCACATAATTTAGTGACGCTTGTTTTCATTTTTAGGTTGAGAAACCTTAATAGTTTCGTTTTGCTACGAGTTTTAAAAAATATAATCGAAAATAGGTTGTCCATAAAAAATACCATCATTTATGTACCTAATATTTTCTTTTCTTCTTTTTTTTCGGCTAAACTACACATTTAGATAAACATACGATATGTTAAATGTGAGCTGCAATAAACACTTATACGTATGGACTTACAAAACATATTCGATCTTTGAAGCAAAAGTTGTGATTCATCATGACAGTACTATTACCAAAATTTAATAGTGCACTGTCTGTCACTTAGTATTAGTAAACAAGGAAATTAATTGTAACAGCTCTACTCAAAAGAACAGTATTTAAAGAAACTATATACTAAGTACACGGCAAATCTCCAGAGACACACTTTACGAAATGTGTAGGCTAGTTGGGATGTTAATTGATATTTTTTCTTATCTCTATTAAATTTTTCAATTTTGAAAATAATTTAAAAATCAATTTACTGAAAAAAAAGATGGATCTATATTTAAAAAAAAAAAAAA